CCACCCTTTCACTTCATTGCTGCGACAAGATTATAAGTCAGGAGAGCAAGGTGTATACAGTACTCCCAAAAATAGCCTGTGAAATTGAATGTGTCGGGCCGTTGAAGCACACAATCCACAGGATTAAATTACGAGTTGGGGTAAGCTGTAACAGTCACGGAATTCACCTTGTTCGGAGCCTAAACTTTCGTTAAATCTCATGAACTCCAAGGGCATATTTCACAATGATCAAAGGGGTGGAGACCAACAACGTTTGTCTTTGCTCATTGACGTGCACGTCGTTTCAAGATAGTGCACACCAGTGAGGAATGCAGAATGATTATGAGCCAAGGCCTAATTCTCCGCCCTTCTTTCATCGTGAAGATTATTCTCAAACGTAGTGCAATCTCATTCGCTGTGCATGCAAGGCCAGGGGGCTGGGTTCGGCACGGCGCCAGCCCAATTTCTATCAGTTGCTGTCGCTTGCCCGTTCCGACAAGTGGTGAAGAACGGACTGGCCCACTCCAAATCACTCGCCCCCCCCCCCCCCTCCTTTGCCACAGCCCAGCATGTGCAGCAAGGACTGTGCTGTTGTGATCCATGCAAACGAGGGCGTGTGACACAGCGCAGATTTCAATGCAGCCAAGGTGCCCGTTTTCCACCAGTAATGCCGTTCCAAGCTCGATACAGCGGATGGGAGCTGATCTGGCTACGCTCCAATGCCATTCGCCCGTCACACGCCCATCGTTTGCAGGGATCATGAGAGTAGGTGCATTTGCACCTGCAAGCAGTAATACTTGGGTAATTTCAGTTCCCTCTTTACTTTCCTTGAATGTTTCTGGCTTTTTCAAAAATCAATTACCTGGTCAGGAGAGAGTACGAACGGTGGTAGCTGAACAGGAATCGCTTTCTCGTCATAAATCACAAAGTGATCTATGGGATCTGAGCTTCGGAGCACGACAATCACCCTGAAGAAAATCGGAGATCGATGAAATCCGGAGAATTTATGAATGTTCTTCTGCGACATACGCCGCCAAAAGGTATTATAAGATATAGTCGCTCACCTAAATTTGTAATCTCTGCATGGGTCAAGTATAGTGAAGGTTACTGTCGGCCTTGGAGATGATCCCTTTCAATTTCGAGTATCAAAAAGAACAGACGAATTGTTGAAACGACGGAAATTAGTCTTGAGATTGAAATCGGAAAAGGAAAGCGTGTGGGCCATTACTCGCGAAGCTTCTCAATCGCTAAGGATTTGAAGTCCTCAGAGTCGAGGGATAAGAATGCACGCACTCATGTATCGCATTAGTCCTTACATGATGGTCGTCCTCGCTTCAGGGCAATGAAAATTCAATAGTAGCCCTATAGTACGCACGTATGTACCGATCACTATAGTTCGCTCGGACGGTTTGGGCGTGTCCAGCTTAGAATGAGTGTGTCATGCCGTCCAAGGCCGTTCTCGTAAACCTTGCTGTTGGAACGCACATGTCACAACCAAAGTAGCAAGAAAACGAGTAAATGCGAAGGATATGCGATGCAGTAATGTCACTGTTCCCGCTTCAAGCAACTGTGGGGAAGCGAGTTTGCACGAGCGAAGCAGCCGCGCTGACACGCCCAACGAAGCGAACTACATTATACCTACAGTCCATACAGTGCGATTATAATCTGGATCTAATCTGAACTTGTCCCTTCAATGAAAAAAACAGACTTACCGCGAAGTACCAATCATCCGATCTTGTGCTCACTGTTGCGTACTCGAACACATAGGCGAAGGCTTCTGAATGTGCTGGAATCTGAAGGCGAATCGAATGTGCATCGAGATATTCCGACGAGAACGACGACGGAGTCGGTACCATTGGCGCTGAAAAGGAAGTGTGATGACGGTTCAAGGGCGTGATGTGAAAGTTTGCGTAGAAAACGTTCACTGGTTGATTAGCGTAGTGTAGTGGAAAAAGTTCGCTACTTGTTCTCTAATCACTTGATCGAATCATGCAAGCTTCGGAGCCACGATAATCCAGGACATTGGTGCCATACGCAGTCTAGTGGACAGTTGCAGCATGCCTAAGCCTCACTGATCGCATACTCACTGCAACTCACATTCACTGGACTCAGGGTTGACTGACTCTAAAGAACAACAGTGCCATCATCCAGGGTACATAATCGTGATTTGTGAAGCGACGGTGTCAGTATGATCCCCGCAGCAACGAATCCTGGTACGACCGCCTTCCCCC